CCTACCACCACAGTCTCCCCACCACACCAGTCTCCTACCACCCCAGTCCTCCCACCACACCGTTCCTACCACCACAGTCTCCCACCACACCTTGTCCTTACCACCACAGTCTCCCACCACACTCCTGCCACAGCCTCTCCACCAATTCCACCACACCGGCCTACCAACCACACGTCTCCCAACACCTACACACAGTCTCCCAACACCTGTCCTACCACCACAGCTCTCCCACCCACCGTGTCCTACCACAGTCTCCCACCACACGTCTCACCACCACAAACGTGTCCTCCCACAACGTCCTCCCACCACCAGTCTCTCCACCACAGTCTCACCACCACAGCCTTCCCTCCATCCACACACCTCCCACCACCACAGCCTCCCACACCACTACAGCCTCCACCACTACACAGCTCCACCCCCACCACACAGCCTCCCACCACCACACCCCAACACCATCACCAAACAGCTCCAACCCTACGAACAGCCTCTCACACCATCACCAAAACACAGCCTCCAACACCATCCACCACACAGCCTCACCCACCACCACACAGCCTTTAACCCTACACACAGCCTCCCCCCACCACCACAGCCTCCCCACCACACCACACACAGCCTCCCACCACCACAGCAACACAGCCTCCCACCCCACCACAACACAGCCTCCCACACAACCACCCTACACAGCCCTTCCACTACCACACATCACCACAACACAGCCTCCACCACCACTCCAGCCCCACCTCCCCTACACAGCCTCCAAACCCCCACCACACAGCCTCCCAAACTCCAACCACACCCCTCACACCACTGCCATCCTCCTCACCACCACCACTGCACAGCCTCTCCACCACCACGCACAGCCTCCCACCACCACACTGCACAGCCCACACCACCACACACGGCCTCCCCCACCATCACGCTTCCTCCAACACTACACAGTCTCCCAACACCACTACTATCACACAGCCTTCCTCCTCCACCACCACCACTACACAGCCTCCCGCCACCACCAAACAGCCTCCCACCACCACCACCACGCAGCCTCCCACCACCACCACCACACAGCTTTCTACCTCCACCACCACCACCACCACAGCCTCCAACACCACTACACAGCTTCCCACCACTACACAGCCTCCCACCACCACCAGTACGCAGCCTCCCACCACCACCCCCACCACCACGCAGACTCCCACCACCACTGCGCAGCCTACCACCATCACCACACAGCTTTCCACCACCACTACACAGCCTCCCACTTCACCACTACACCAGCCTCCCCCCCCCACCACCACGCAGACTCCCACCACCACTACACAGCCTCCCACTCACCACTCACAACACCCCCCCCACACCACGCAGACCCACCCCACTACACAGCCTTCTACCACCATCACTACACAGCCTCCCACCACCACTACCACTCAGCCTCCCACCACCACCACACAGCCTCCCACCACCACCACACAGCCTCCCACCACCACCACAGTCTCCCTCCACCACGACAGTCTCCCACCACCACAGTATCCCACATTTTAAACATTGTCTCTCAGTATTCCCATCATTCCCCCCCCTCTTGTACCTACAATCCCCATATACACGAGAGTACTTTTTGCATGGGTGTGATTCTCCCACGTCAATGACCATACCAACACCAATTAAAGAGTATATCCTTTCACAGTGACTCCCCCCATTCCCCGTAAATCCATCCTCCCCATTATCGTGACCTCCCCATTTAATCTCCCATTATCACATGTCCTACCATCAACATGGTTTTCCATGTCTGTCTCCGTACTACGTGAACGCATAGGCGTGCGCGCGGACGGATGTGAAGGGGTGTCATGCGCGTGCACGCACGCGCTTTTCGTGTACACGAGTGGGTGGGCGGGTGTGCGCGCGCGAATGTGAGTGCACGAATGGGCAGGCGGGCAATCGGGTGCATACGTATACCCGAGCGAGTGGATCCATGCGTATACACGAGCCAGTGGATCCATGCGTATACAAGAGTGAGTGAGTTCGTGCATATACACAAGAGAGTGGGTTCGTGCATATACGCGAGCGGGCGGATGGGTTCGTGAGTGAGCACGCTCGTGGCTGTGGAACAAATTCGCGACGTCCTGTCCTCGTGGGAATGTAAATGGGGAATGGCAAAGCATTTGTGGGCGGGGACAGGCGCGTCCGCGGCGATAGGTGCGTAGCCGACAGACGCATAGAAAACAATACGCGCATGGGCGGGGATAGTCCATCCTTACTCTAAATGAGCAACAAAAGGCGCATAGACATTAATAATTAAGGCTTACAGGTAGACATAGGTACATTCAGCACATGTATGGGCGGGAATACTGTACTTGGCAATGGGAATATATGCGTTGATAGGCACATAGGAATGCGTCGATAGGCACATAGGGATGCGTCGATAGGCAAATAGGAATGTGTGGATAGACACAGGAATGCGTCGATAGGCACATAGGAATACCTCAACAGACACAGGAATCTGTCGCTAGGCACACAGGAACGCGTCGATGGGCGCACAAGCAGGGATGCGTCGATAGGCCTATGAACAGGAATGATTCTATAGGCCTATGAGCAGGAATGCAGCAGTAGGAGCTAATAGGGATCGTGGGTGGCAATAAATGCATGACATACAAAATTTGGGTGGGCGGGCGGCGATGGGGCGGGCGTGTGGGCGGCGATGGGCGGGCGGCGGGAGCAACACCGTCACCACAGCTGACCAAAGGCTAGCCAGATCGATAACCTGAGGAGAAGCGAGAGCACTGCTCCTCCACCTCCTCCTTTATCCCCTCCTCCTCCACCTCCTCCTTTATCCCCTCCTCCTCCTTCACCTCCTCCTTTATCCTCTCCTCCTCCACCTCCTTTATCCCCTCCTCCTTCACATCCTCTTTTATCCCCCTCCTCCATCTCCTCCTTTGTCCCCTCCTCCATCTACTCCTTTATTTCCTATATCATCTCCTTCATCTCCTTATTCCTCCTTCGTCTCCTCATCCCCTTCTCTACCTCCTCCTCCTCCGTCTCCCCCTTTATCCCCTCCTCCTTAGGTTTCCTTTACCTCTCCTCCATCCCCTCCTCCACCTCGTCCCTTATCACCTCCTCATCCTTCTACTGTGTCCTTCCTTCTCTTTTCTCTCTCCTTCCCAGCATTCTCTTTTTTTTTAATTTATGCCGTTTATTATATATTCTTCATCTTCCACTTATTTCTCTTCTTCCTCTAAAATTTTCTCTTCTTTATCTTTCACTATTCTCTTATTCTTCTTTCATTCTCTTCTGTCAAATAGCTTATCTTCCACCTTCATTCATTTCCTCCCTTAATTTCCAGCTTCATTCTAATTTTCATTCTTGTCTCTCCTGAATTATCGCTGTTCTTCGTCGTCTCCTTATTTTCATATTCTCATGTATTTCAACTCTTAATCCGTATGCCTGTCTTTGTCCATCTCTGTCTGTTGGTCTCTTGTTTATCTCTCCGTGTCTGTCTTTCTCTTTTCACGATATTACTCTCACCTGTCTTTTTTACTTTTTTTTTTTTTTTGCATTCCTTCTCCCCCTCCCCATCTCTCTCTCTCTCTCTCTCTCTCTCTCTCACACACACACACACACACCACGTGTCATGAAGTGATGGTATTTTTGGTGAAGGGGGAGACCGACGTGTGTGTGTGTGTGTGTGTGTGTGTGTGTGTGTGTGTGTGTGTGTGTCGCGCACGAGAACGCGCGCATGTGTGCAAGCACGTGTACATACCTGCGTCTATTGTACCTTTATCAAAGTAGTTATTGAAATAAATTGTGCATAATATATATGCATAATGTATATATATATATATATATTATTATTATATATATATTATATATATATATATATATATATATATATATATATATATATATATATATATATATATATAATGTTTTGTTTCTCCGCACGACCCCACATCCAACCCTTCTCTCTCTCTCTTTCCCTCTTTTTTCACACTTGTTCAGTGTCTCCCTTCCCTCTCCTCTCTCTCTCTCTCTCTCTCTCTTGCTATCTCCCCCTCACTACCAGCACTTGGCCACTTCGCTAAGACACTGCACTTTCCCTCCCTCCTCCACTAGTACCCCGTACACATCTTCTAATTAACATCTAAGTACTTTTCCCACTGCAGACCAAGGGTGCTTCCCATTAAACTTCCAGCTCCTCTCTCGTAATTTCTTCGTTGCTGCCGCTGCTGCCTGTCGTAGCATCGTTATAAAACACAGTGTGATTCAGTGTAGCGATTCTCAGGCGTCAGTCGCAGCCTGGGCGACGCACTCTTGTTGTTCTTATTGTCGAATTGTGGGGAAGGTGGAGGCTGGGAGTCCCCTCCTTGGTCTGTATATTCATGTTACACTCTCTCTTTACCCCTCCATTCCCCCCCTTTGTCATGCTGTCATACCTATCTCTCCCGTCCATATTTGATTACGTACACATGCACACGTACATATTTTTATATGTATTTATTTTTTCATCGTTGATGCACTAGCGTAGTGAAGGTTTTCATTCAAATTGGAGCGTTGATTAAACGTTACGAGTGATTCTGTTAGCGTCGGCGTGTGAACATAATGATCTGTGAAGCCGTCTCCAGTAAGTAATGTATGTTATACGAGAGATAGTTTTATTTTCATATAATTGGATAAGTTAGCTGGAGCTGTTTTCTCATGAGCCTCATTGGTGATTCTGGAGAGGGCTACAGGGAGGGTCCTTATGTGACGGGGGTGCGATTGTAACGCGGAAAATATGCCAGCGGCCGCTATTTAGATGATTCCATGTCCGGAGTCTGTGCCTTTTCCTGTGTCATTTGGACCGCCTGATTATTTCCTTCATTTTCATATTCTTTCCTATTACATTTTGTATTATCATATAATTAACATATTTAATATAATTATATATTATAATATATTATAAACCGCGAAGAAGTCGCCATTGCGCATCCTCAGCATACTCACGTACGTCTTTCTTACCCTTACAGGCGCACCGGATGAGCCAAGCAGCCTGGTTGGTGGCTTAAGAATCGGGCCTCGTGACGTAGCGCCACCCTATTGGCCGCCGCTACCTCTCGCTCCACCCACCATGCATCCTCCGCCAATCGGCGCGCTCCCTACCGCAATGGCTCACGACGAAGAAAGCGATTGCTTCATGCTAGGAGAAAAGCTGTCGAAGAAACCGAAACGGATCAGAACAAGAGTAGACGCCGGAGAGCCAAGGAACTCTTACTCGGCCTTCAGTAGTTTACCCAACCTGTGTGGTGTTAGTGTTAATGCAGTCAGGCCGGGAAGTGCTCCTAACCTCTTCAGTGCAAGTCAACCCTTTTGTGGACTACCGTTTGTGAACTATTTCAACCCCCCACCCACGGTGGGTTCGCGCGGTATGCTGAGTGAGTTGTTTGGCGCCCACACCAAGCCTGTGGCGCCCTGCCCGCCTGAAGACACCGTGTCAACCATGGGTGTATTGGACAAAGTGACAAGCTCTAGCGTGCATAGTGCTGATGCAGTGAACTCGGTTATACGGGGACCAGAGCCAGATAACGTGCTCTTACGGGAAATCCTTCAGGGACGTAAACGGGACCTTCTTACTATGGAGGAGATTGAGGCCGCCCGTTCCTTACACAACAATAACAATAGTTACAAGGGGGCGACAGACTTGGTGGAGGCCAAGAGCGAGGAGACCAACGCGGGCAGGGATGAAAACAGTGTGTCAGCCGAGGACGCGCGGTGTGAGTCTGAGGTAGAGGAGACTATGAGTCAGAACAGTCCGCGCACTGACTCTCCAGAACCCAGGAAACGTCTGGAGAATATTGTTAGTGTGATCCGCTCCTCGCCCACCCCTAACACCACCGTCAACGGGTGCAAAAAGCGGAAGTTGTACCTGCCACAGCAGCACGAGACACGACCCAACTACGACTCGCAAAACGAGGAAGGTGAGGCTGCGGCTGAGCCAGATAATAAAACAAGACGTCTTGAAGACGACGAGCAGGGGGAGTCAAGAGTGGCGGAGTCTGGGGAGGAAGGGGGACTGCAGATAGACCTAAGTGTGAGACGACGATCTCCGGAGCCAACTCGGCCGCCCTCCCCCAAACCTCCCACCTCCACCTCCTCGAACGACTCCAACGATGCCTCTTCCTACCTCCTGGATTATGCCCAACGACTGATCCGCAATCAAGAGGCGCGATTACAAAGAGAAAACGACATGAAAAACACCGACTTGAATGAGAAGTTGCAGCTGTTGCGAAACTTGAGTTTGGGGTCCCAAGTGACAGACCTGGAGGGTCTTGCTGACGTGCTCAAGACCGAGATCACAGCCTCCCTGGCCGTCATCATCGACACCATAGTCAATAAGTATGTCCAGCAGAGAAAACTGCTCACCAAGCAGGCGGAAGTGGCGGCTGAACAGCTCAACCGAGACATTGCCTCGCAGTTGATGGAACGATCACGTTCCCCACGTTCTCACAAGCTGCTAGATCCCAGAGGGCCCCCCAACATGCCCAGACTTAATGGCATGCCCGCCCCTCACGGACCTCTCAATCTCTCGCCCTACCCAGGTTCCGAAAACAACCTCAATAACCTCAATCTACCACATCTACGACCACCTCTCTACAAGCCTCCTCACGGTTTCTTCCACAGCAACTTGCCCCCTATGGGCGGCATGATCCCCAGCGGGCAGTCCTCGCCCTACGGCGGGATGGAGCCCGAGCAAGATGAGGCTCTTCCTCTAGTGGTCACACCCAAGAAGAAGCGTCATAAGGTGACGGACTCACGCCTCACACCTCGCACGGTGGGCCGACTCCTGGAGGATTTCCCCCGCTACGGACCCCTACCAGGGATGGGTGGTCAAATGTCCCCTCGCAACTCCCCTCCCCCACCACCAGTCAACCACCACCCGCACCACCGCCCCACCACCTTCCCCCAGCCTCCACCACTGCTACCAGTTTCACTGCCTACCTCCGTGGCCATCCCCAACCCATCGTTGCACGACACCAGTCTACTCTACCCCAATTACTACGGCGGGCATCGGGCGTCCTCCCCGATGGACGGGCGGCGGGACGAATCTCCGGCAGGTCCCCCGCCCCCACACCCCCACCCGCTCCTTCATCCTGCGCTCCTGGCAGCCTCCTCACCGGACTCCTTCTCACGCTTCCTACACGGCGCTGACCACGACCGTGCCTCAGACTGTTCGCCAGCAGATCCCAACTACGACGGTGTCCAGCCTACTATATCCTTTTATTCACCTGAACGTAAATATCAACTCCAAGGTTTCGTTTTACATGTTTTGTAGCCTCACACGTATGTAGCACACGTGCCTCCTCTCACTTATGTAGCACACGTGCGTCCACATTTATGTAGCACACGTGCGTCCACATTTATGTAGCACACGTGTATCCAAATACACAGTCTCTTGGGAGTAGGGCTCATTATTATGTGATGTTTGACGCCACATAAACACGCACAACATGAGTTTATACCAGCCAAGGTATCAAAATCTTGATGGGAAGGTCTTTCACACACCATCATCACCCCTGCTTGTACAGTTACCTCCCCTTGTTTGTACTACTTCTATCCTTGCATGCACAACTACCACTTGTTTGTACTACCATATTTCCATGTATAACTACCATCCCTTTTTGTACTACCATCTTTGTTTGTACCACTACCATTCCTACTTGCATCACTACCACCCTTGTTTGTACTACTACCTTATACCAATACCATCCCTGTTTGTTCTACCAATCTTACTGGTACCATTAACATCTCTGCTTCCACAACTACCACCACCCGTTTGTACTACCACCCTTGCTTGTACCACTACTATATCTGTACCAGTACCACCTCCTGTTTGTACCACTACCACCCCTGTTTGTACCACTGCCATACCTGCTTATATCATTACCATCCCTGCTTGTAAATCCCTGTTTGTAATAACATCTATGTTTCTGCTACCATCCTTGCTTATAGTGTTACCATCCCTACTTGTACCACTACTATTCCTGCTTGTGCCACTACCACCCCTGTTTGTACTACTACCACCCCTGTTGGTTCTACTACCACCCCTGTTGGCTCTAGTACCATCCCTGCTTGTGTTACTAACTACCATTACTCCTTGTACCACTGCCATCTCTTCTTGTTCCACTACCATCCCTGCTTGTGTTGCTACCATCCTTGTTTGTACCACAACCCCCCCCCTTCCTATTGGTACTACTACTACCATTCCTGTTTTTGTTACTACCAACCATGCTTATATCACTACCGCCCCTGTTTATACTACCATCCTTGCTTGTACCACTATCACCTGTTTGTGCTGCTACCATCTTTGCTTGCAGCACCACCACCTTGACTATAACACTACCACCCATGCTTGTAGCACCACCACCCTGAATATAACACTACCATCCATGCTTGTACCACTATCATTCCTACTTGTATAGCCACCACCCTTGGTTGTACCAGTCTTCACCTTTTCTCTCCTGGAACTTCACTTATGTGCTCCCTTACATTTACTTCGCCCCCGCTGAAAACCCACACCTCTAACACCCACCATGCTGGTCATGCATGTGTTGTTTTTTCCCCTGACATTCTCACTTGCATGATATCTCCCATTCCACATGATCCTGTGCACTCTCCCTCCAAGATACCTCCCACGCAACTCCCACTCACCATACTTCCCTCTCTAATCACATGCACATGTTACATCCTATACACTCCAGTCGGGGTCAACTCTTCCATGCATCAATCCCTCCCTCCCTCATGCTGAGCCAAGTCAATCCTCTTTACTTCTTCGATAATCCTTCTCTGCTCTCCTCTCCTCTCTCTCTCTCTCTCTCCCTCTCTCTCTCTTCTTTCTCTCTCCCTCTCTCTCTCTCTCTCTCTCTCTCTCTTCTCTCTCTCTCTGATATCCTACCTCTATTCTTCTTTATTCCTTCAAATTGATACATCTTTACTGTCCATATCTGACCCCCACTCCTTCCTTTTCCAAGCTGCTCATCTACAAATTCTGCTTCTGCCATTTTTCTCCCCAGTCATCCTGAAACTCCTCCCCAATCTAGTCTACCCCCAAGCACATCTGCCCATTATATTCTAAACCAGTCTCCCCCAGTCTGTTTACACCCCAGTTCCCATTCTATCTCTTGCTCTTACATCAGTTCTACCATCTCATTCCAATTCCTACCAAATCTTGCCTGTTTACCTATGTTCATTCCCTATGGTCCTATTTACCTATGTCCATTCCCTACACCTAAAACCATTTTCCTACTGTTCAGCTCATTTTACTGTTTATCTGAACTCCCCATTCTGTTACATGATCCCTTTCCCGATTCATTTACTCCAATGTGTAATCATCCCATTTCTTTTCTCTTTACTCCTTATTTGACTACAATTCTCATCTCTCAATTTCTTCCCATTCCTCCTGTTCCAGACTCTCCTTTCTTACCTAAAAGATATATACCCTGGCTGTCAGTGTTTACCCTAACTCACATTTGCCTAAATGTTGACCTTAGTGTGAATTAGGTTCATGTCTTCCCTGCATCTCTCGGTGTTCTTTACCTTAATGTTGCCTCAGAATTTACCATGTGGTGACCCATCATTCACCCCAACGCTCGAACCTCCCCATCATTCACCCCCGTGTTCAAACCTCCCCATCATTCACCCCAGTGTTCAAACCTCCCCATCATTCACCCCAGTGTTCAAACCTCCCCATCATTCACCCCAGTGTTCAAACCTCCCCATCATTCACCCCAGTGTTCAAACCTCCCCATCATTCACCCCAGTGTTCAAACCTCCCCATCATTCACCCCAGTGTCAAAACCTCCCCATCATTCACCCATGTTTAAAACTCCCCCTCATTCACCCCAGTGTTCAAACCTCCCCCCTCATTCACCCATTTTTCAACCTCCCATCATTCACCCCAGTTTCAAACCTCCCCATCAAATTTACCCCCTGCTTTAAAACTCCCCCTAAATTTATCCCCGTGTCAAACCTCCCCCCAGTGCTCAAACCTCCCATCATCCCAGTGCTCAAACCTCCCCATCACCCCAGTGCTCAAACCTCCCATCATCCCAGTGCTCAAACCTCCCCATCATCCCCAGTGCTCAAACCTCCCATCATCCCAGTGCTCAAACCTCCCCTTTTCATCCCAGTGCTCAAACCTCCCATCACCCCAGTGTCAACCTCCCCATCGTTCACCCCAGTGCTCAAACTCCCATCACCCCAGTGCTCAAACCTCCCTCATCCAGTGCTCAAACTCCCATCACCCAGTGCTCAAACCTCCCCTCATCCTGAAATCCCACCCCAGTGCTCAAACCTCCCCATCACCCCAGTGCTCAAACCTCCCCATCGTTCACCCCAGTGCTCAAACCTTCCCATCACCCCAGTGCTCAAACCTCCCCATCGTTCACCCTAGTGCTCAAACCTCCCCATCACCCCAGTGCTCAAACCTCCCCATCATCCCAGTGCTCAAACCTCCCCATCACCCCAGTGCTCAAACCTTCCCATCCACCCCAGTGCTCAAACCTCCCCATCACCCCAGTGCTCAAACCTCCCCAACACCCCAGTGCTCAAACCTCCCCATCGTTCACCCAGTGCTCAAACCTCCCATCCCCAGTGCTCAAACCTCCCATCGTTCAACCCCAGTGCTCAAACTCCCCATCGTTCACCCAGTGCTCAAACCTCCCCATCGTTCACCCCAGTGCTCAAACCTCCCCATCGTTCACCCAGTGCTCAAACCTCCCCATCGTTCACCCCAGTGCTCAAACCTCCCCATCGTTCACCCCAGTGCTCAAACCTCCCCATCGTTCACCCCAGTGCTCAAACCTCCCCATCGTTCACCCCAGTGCTCAAACCTCCCCATCGTTCACCCAGTGCTCAAACCTCCCCATCGTTCACCCCAGTGCTCAAACCTCCCCATCGTTCACCCCAGTGCTCAAACCTCCCCATCGTTCACCCCAGTGCTCAAACCTCCCCATCGTTCACCCCAGTGCTCAATGAAGGCAATTACCACTTTTACCTTAGTGCTCGTGTCTTCTAGTTAATACCCTTGATAATGACCCTTATAGGGTTTAATTATATTAATCTTAATTTCTTTTGTTACATTTAGGCTAATGTTGCTCCTTAGTGATACTTAAACCCTTCCCTATGTTAGGTACATAGTGACTGCGTGTGCGTGCGTGCGTTGCGTGCGTCTTCTGAATAACATGTTCGTTGTCCTCTCCCTCCCTCTCTCTCTCTCTCTCTCTCTCTCTCTCTCTCTCTCTCTCTCTCTCTCTCTCTCTCTCTCTCTCTCTCTCTCTCTCTCTCTCTCCGTCCGTGGTCAAGGTGTCAATATCAAACTCTTCCTCCCCAGGAAGCTGGTACCCGCATGCTCCCCCTCTCCCTCCGTCTCATTCTCTCCCTCTCCCTGCTTCCCCATCTCTCCCTCCTCATGTCTTTTCTCATTTCTCTTTATTGTATATTCACTTCATACTCTACCGTCTCTCACTTCTTTCTCGCCTGTTGTACGTGAATCTCTCTCTCTCTCCATTTCAGGTTACCGTTTTCTTTCCCTCCCTCTTTCTCCTTACCCCCCACTTCCCCCCTTCCTCTCTACCTACCTCCTATATCCTTCCATTCCACCCCTCCCACCCTCCCCTTTCCAGGTTACCGTTTTCTCTACCATATCCTACCTCCCCAAATCCTACCTACCTCTAACTCCCCTCCCCATCTTCATGCCATATTCCCACTACCCCTTCACCCCCATTTTCACCTCCCCATAATTTTCCCCCTTTCCTTCCTCTCTTTCTCTCCCTGAGCCCCTCCTCGTCTCCCCTCACCCTCTCCCCCCGTGGGGGGATACCGCGTAGCTCATTGGAGAGAGCATCTGACTCGCAATAGCAGGATCAGGAATTCGATTCCCAGGCAGGGTAAACATACGGGTGAATATCTTCACAGTCCTGCTGCCCCTGCTCACCTAGCAGTACAGATAGGCACCTGTGTGTTAACCCACTGTTGTAGGTTGCATCTAGGGGGGAAAAGGTGTTAGCTGCAGTACCTCCCTCCCTACCTACCTGCTGGATGTTATACACTGTGTAAGACACTCCAGTACCTACTGGATGTTATACCCTGTGTAAGAAACTCCAGTACCTACTGGATGTTATACAATGTATAAAACACTCCAGCACCCACTGGATATTATACCCTGTATAAGATACTCCAGTACCCACTGGATATTATACCCTATATAAGACTTTTCAGTACCTACTGGATGTTATACAATGTATAAGACACTCCAGTACCTACTGAAAGTAATTTAAGTGTAGCATAAGGTACCAGTGTACCTAATGGGGTTAATTAACACCCCCTTCCCTCCTCTTCCTCTATTTCTTCCCCTCCCCGTCTCCCTCGTTGCATGATGCCACCCACTCCACCAGCCACCAAGCTTACCACCCTATTTGCTGTGACTGAAGGAGATTCCTTAGAGAGAGAGAGAGAGAGAGAGAGAGAGAGAGAGAAATTTTCGGTTTATCACTGACGAGTGTTATTCCTAAGGTTTATTCCACTTTATTCATCGTCAGTGTATTCCATTTATTCACCGTCTCTGCATCCTAATTTATTTTAATTGTCTTTCAACTTTCCTTTGCAACGCTGTATATTTATCTTCATTCTCATTCTCTCTCTCTCTCTCTCTCTCTCTCTCTCTCTCTCTCTCTCTCTCTCTCTCTCTCTCTCTCTTCTCTCTCCACATTCTCATCATCATTCTTCTCTCTCTCTTCTCTCTCTCACCACTTCTCATCATCATCTCTCTCTCTCTCTCTCCTACGGTTTACGAGATTATTGATTTTTGTGCTGAGTTGATGAAAAGCGTGGGCGTGGGTAGTGGGTGCACACTTTCTTAAATGGGCGTGGGTAGTGGGTGCACACTTACTTAAATGGACGGAGGGGTGGTGGAGTGCTGGAGTGTCAGCATGGGTGGGCGTGCGAAACACACCATGGTACTGTGTTTTGTGAGGTGCTAAACTCATTGTGGGGGTTCGATCCTCCATGCGCTCGTCTCCACCCTGGTCTGTGACAAGCCAGACTGTTGTTGACCTCGGTGAAGGTGCCTAGTACGGACCTGAATGGTCATCAGACCTTTGGAATAATGAATGCATTGATAGCCTAGTGGGGAGATAATAGAGGAGGTGTCTGTTTGTGGGGAGATAATGAAGCTCTTAGTGGGAAGACATTGGAGGAGCTGTCTTAGTGGGGAGAGAGTGGAGGAGCTGTCTCTTACTGGGGAGACGGTGGTGGGGGCTATCTTTAGTGGGGAGACAGTGGAGGAGTTATCTCTTAGTTGGGACACAGTGGTGGGGCTGTCTCTTAATGGGGAGACAGTGGAGCTGGCTCGTAGTGGGGAGACAGTGGAGCTGGCTCGTAGTGGGGAAACAGTGGAACTGGCTCGTAGTGGGGAGACAGTGGAACTGGCTCGTAGTGGGGAGACAGTGGAACTGGCTCGTAGTGGGGAGACAGTGGAACTGGCTCGTAGTGGGGAGACAGTGGAACTGGCTCGTAGTGGGGAGACAGTGGAACTGGCTCGTAGTGGGGAGACAGTGGAGCTTGCTCGTAGTGGGGAGACAGTGGAGCTGGCTCGTAGTGGGGAGACAGTGGAGCTGGCTCGTAGTGGGGAGACAGTGGAGCTGGCTTGTAGTGGGGAGGCAATGGAGCTGGCTCGTAGTGGGGAGACAGTGGAACTAGCTCGTAGTGGGGAGACAGTGGAACTGGCTCGTAGTGGGGAGACAGTGGAACTGACTCGTAGTGGGGAGACAGTGGAGCTGGCTTGTAGTGGGGAGACAATGGAGCTGGCTCGTAGTGGGGAGACAGTGGAGCTGGCTTGTAGTGGGGAGACAATGGAGCTGGCTCGTAGTGGGGAGACAGTGGAACTGGCTCGTAGTGGGGAGACAGTGGAACTGGCTCGTAGTGGGGAGACAGTGGAACTGACTCGTAGTGGGGAGACAGTGGAACTGACTCGTAGTGGGGAGACAGTGGAGCTGGCTTGTAGTGGAGAGAAACAATACAGCGATGTTTAACGTTAAGTAGCGATGTTTAATGTAACTTAACGATGTTTAACGTTATATAACCATGACGTAGCGATTGTTTAACGTAATACAACGATCTTTACCGGGCTGTAGCAGTGGTTACCGAGATGTAGCAATGGTTAGCGGGTTGCAGCGATGTTTAGCGAGATGTAGCGATGTTTAGCGGTATATGGATTTTTTTTTTTTTGTAAAATATGACTATGTTTAGAGTTGTGTAGCGATGTTTGTTTATCGGGTCGTAACGCGATACAGTTAGGGTTCACGGGAATTCATGGATGTTTAGGGAAACATAATAGTGAGTCGTAGCATGACTTAGTTATGTCTATAGTCTGATTGCATCATTTCTAGCAATGTTTAGGGCAATATAACCTATGTTTAGGACAATATAGCCTATGTTTAGGGCAATATAACCTATGTTTAGGACAATATAGCCTATGTTTAGGGCAATATAACCTATGTTTAGGACAATATAGCCTATGTTTAGGGCAATATAACATGTTTAGGACATATGCCTATGTTTAGGCAATATAACCTATTTTGGACAATATAGCCTATGGTTTAGGGCAATATAACCTATGTTTAGGACAATATAGCCTATGTTTAGGGCAATATAACTTATGTTTAGGACAATATAGCCTATGTTTAGGGCAATATAACCTGTTTAGGACAATATAGCCTATGTTTAGGGCAATATAACCTATGTTTAGGACAATATAGCCTATGTTTAGGGCAATATAACCTATGTTTAGGACAATGTAGCCTATGTTTAGGGCAATATAACCTATGTTTAGGACAATATAGCCTATGTTTAGGGCAATATAACCTATGTTTAGGACAATATAGCCTATGTTTAGGGCACTATAATCTATGTTTAAAGCAATGTAAGCCATGTTTAGGGCAATTATCTATGTTTACTGTAATCTATGTATAGGGCAGTATAAATTATATTTAGGTTAATATATATGTTTAGGTTAATATAATGTATGTTTAAATTTAATATGATCGATATTTATGGCCGATATAAGCGATGTTAAGTATAAACAATATTTATGGGCAATAGAAGGAATCAGCGCAACATAAACGATGTTTAGAATAAATGTTTAATAGTATAAATTATGTTTAAAATAATGCAAGATACGCTCTGTGCAACAGAGCAGTGTTTAGCGCAATACAAGCGATGTTGAAGGTTACTATAGCCGATGCTTAAGGTCGGTCTAACCAATGTTTAAGGTCATCATTATAAGCGATGCTTAGGGACATCATTATAACCGACGTTTAAGGCCATTATAGCCAATGTTTAAGGTCATTACAAGCAGTGTTTAAGGTTAACGTCATCAGAGTTTTAGGTGGCTTACATAAGCTCTGTTACCCAGCGAGATATTTAACAGCAGTTAACATATGTATTGCATGAGAGAGCTTCTCGTAGCGCTGGGTGAGCTCCCAGCGCGTTGAGCTTGGGTAAGCTTTGTATAGCCTGAGGAAGGATGGCGTATAAAGAAACGTAGTTAAGCCCATTTAGCCTAAAACAGCTTAAGCGTACGTGCGCTTTATTTGTGCGTAATAAACGTAGTTTCTAAACCTATACTCGCTTTTTCAAGCTTAAAACTGTTTTTAACGCAAAAAAGCTTTGTTTAGCTTAGAAAGTTCAATGTAGCATTGCATAGCTAAGTTTTCTAAGTGGGGTGACGTGGGCGTATGGAAGTGGATAGGAAGCTAGGCTGAGTAGTGGAGATGCTACTCCTGTAGCAGTTGGCGATTCTTAGGATTGCTGACTATAGCAGTTGGCGATTTATAGGATCGCTGACTGTAGCAGTTGGCGATTCATAGGATCGCTGACTATAGCAGTTGGCGATTAATAGAACTGCTGACTGGAGCAGTTGGCAGTTCATAAGATCGCTGACAATAGCAGTTGGCGATTTATAGAATTGCTGACTATAGTGAGTGGCGATTCATAGAATCGCTAACTATAGCGGATGGCGATTTTCTTGTAATGCATTTTGTGATTACCTTTAGCTGTGTAACTCTAGCGGTCGCTCCATTTTCCCCATCCTTCCCCATATATAGGTCCCCATCACCCCTCCTACCCCACACAAAAAAATACGCATTACCCCCCCCCCACACACACACACTACAACTAAATCTCTCATAATATATACACCCCAGAACACGTACAGGCTCATATGTACATTCTCCCCATTACACGTACGTACAGATCTCTCAATACCCGCAGTTACAACATCGCTCAAACGTACACAACCAACTAAATATTGTACACTCGGACCCTTAATGCGTACACACAGATTCTTGAAGCACATGCACACATTCCTTTAAAACGTACATATACATACACTTAAAATACGTGCACACAATCCCCTAGAAGAGATTTATACGTGTACAGACCTAATTTACGTACACAGAGCCCCCGAAAACATACAAAGCCCTTAATTACACGCCCATACTATACTTCAAATCACGTACATACAGTCCTCAAAATAAAAACAGCCCCCCCCTTAAAATTACTTACACATAGCCCCTAAAATATATTCAAACCTCAAAAATCACGTACACAGAACCCTAAAAACACACACACACACACACACACACACACACACAACACACACACTTAAATACGTTCGTGCCTTCCTTAACATGTAAACAAAGTCCAAAACACGTGCATCAACCCCTTCCCCTTCCCTCTCTCCTATTCTTCCCCACCTCCCTCCCCCTTCCCTCACGGCCGCTGTACACCTGCGCGCGCCCATTCCATATTTTAAGACTTTGGTGAATTCTAGATCGTGCGGCGTTCGAGAGGAACATGCGTGCGGGTGGGCCTGTCATCTTCCCTAATGAAAGGTCAGCCGGCTTGGTCACTCACCCCTGCCACACCTGTGAGTATACACACCTGTAGCACACACACACACACACACACACACACACACACACACACACACACACACACACACACAAAGGGCCCCTCCATCCACCTGTGAGTATAGATATACATACACCTGTAGATTACAGGAATACACACAAACACACACATACAGGTCCATCCATCCACACCAGCCATTTTGGTCCCTGTTCTAAGGATCCTTAGAGGTTAAAATCGTGTCGTCTTGGAGTGGTTTCGGTAGAAGGCGAGTTGGGGGGGGGTGGAAAGGGAGGTGAGGGGGGGTGTTCGAAGGGATGGCAGCCGAGAGTTTAACCCTTGGAACGGTGTGACACAAGGACGGGCTCTGTTAGGCAGCGTACAGGCGTCCTTGAAGCGTGTGTGGGGGGGGGGGAGTATTGTGGAGTGGGTGATGGGTTTTGCACGGGAGGGGAGCTGGCAGAGGGGAAGCTAAGATGACGGAGAGGGGAAGAGAGGTGGGGTGTCGGTACTGGGTCGAGAGAGGGCAGTCTGTATTGGGTCGGGCGGGGCGGGAGTAAGGGAGATGGATTGAGGTTTGGGAGAATAGTGGGTGGTAGGGAGAAAGGTGGCGGATTGGGAAGGGAACGGAGTATAGAGGGAGAATGCTGGTGTAGTGATGGAAGGGGAGAGGAGGTAGTGAGGGAAGGGAGGGCGGAGAGGGCACGGAGAGTGTTAGAGAGCTAATTAGGTGATTCATGTCTTAAGGACCAATGTGAAGGTTGAAACCAAACACTTGAGACTGGACCGGTCACTCGCTCTTAATGATCACTGTGTGTGTGTGTGTGTGTGTGTGTGTGTGTGTGTGTGTGTGTGTGTGTGTGTGTGTGTGTGTGTGTGTGTGTGTGTGTGTAAGAAAGAGAGAGAGAGATCTACTAGCTTGCTACCCACTAACTTCATCCTTAGTTTCAAATCCATGAACAACTCGAGGGTCAAGAATACTTTAGGCTACTAAGACACTGATAACATTACACACTGTGTATATGCACAGAGATAAATACTTCTTGGTGTAAATACCTCCTCCACCCTTGATGTCTCTTCCTCCACCTGTTCGCCGTTCTACATCTGGTTACGATACACCTGCCAATCACTCGTACATCTGCCTACTGTATACTTGTAGTAATTTCCCCCTCCGCCTGTCGCCTGTCGCCTGTCACCTGTCACATTTGCATCACATACATCTGCAAACTAGCAGTACTTTACCCCCTGTGTCCCATTAGCATATATTTCTACCCGACAATATCTTCCATATCTGATAGTGTCCACCAAACATTATCATCCATATTCACGCTTCCATTCGACAATATCTTTCATATCTACGTTTTCCCCTGACAGCATCCTTTGCGACAAGTTTACCTCGGCTGGCTTCCCTCCCTGCGACTCTTTCCATGTCTTGCATCTCTGACCTCCGGCTTAGTCAAACGCCAATAGCTAGGACGGGAACCTCAGTGTTTTGTGTCTGTAATCTTCAAGGCTCCCGCAGCGACTCGTGGCTAATCTGTGGATCAGCTTTGGTAATCTGGGCCCGGACGGAAGTCTGGATTGGCTAAAAGGGAGGGCTTAGTGTAGGTTCAGGTTCCACACCTCGATTTTAGGGCCTTCCTCACACGCTGTCTCCTTAACAGAATCGTAGCTTAAAAGTCGAAACTAAGGGAGAATCTTTGTCACTCAAAGTTGCAGAATACATCAGACTTTAGGCAATCGTCTTGTTTTGCCGTTACAGTCGTAAAAGATTGTCAAGCAGTGGGGAGTAGGGTTGGATTGCATTACAAAGCAAACACAAAGAGGGTTGGTTTCCTGATTCAAGGTTCGCTCTGTACCTGTGGGGCTTCAGTCACACTCGATCCTACTCTTATTTCGCACGATCCTACTTGCGGTTCGCCGACGTCTACAGGGTGCGGCTACACCCAGACTTCCTAATGGGATTTTGGGTAGACTCAGATCTTATTTGGGGTTAGAAACCTTGGAAGAGACGTTGCGATGCGTCGGAGTCCAACCAATCAGACAGAGAATATTTTCATGGTTCCTTCTAACGTATGATGAGGCGAAGAGCCATTTTGTTAACGAGTGACCTGCATCAGTTGAAGAGCCTCTCGTGTATAGTGTAGCTCAGGATACTTTGACGAAGATAAAGATAGGAAAAATATCATTTTTTTTTTTTTGAGATTTGTGAACAAATCCTCCGAGACTCGTCGCTATAAGAAGCCCCACAGCGAAGCTTCCTCTTATTTGTCCACAAGCTGAGGTTTCCAAGAGCTGATGATCCCCCGTCACGGCTACACCTCCCTTGTAAGTCCCACGTAATAGTATCACAGAAACCTTGATAGCTTCCTTCCTCCCTCTGACCTTGCCTTCCTCCCTCTGACCTTGCCTTCCTCCCTCTGACCTTGCCTTCCTCCCTCTGACCTTGCCTTCCTCCCTCTGACCTTCCCTTTCTCCGTCAGTCCCTCTCTCCTTCCCTCAGACATTCCCTCCCTCCCTCCTACCCACCTCTCTTAGGTAACAATAATATCTTCATTCCTCTTAACTGTGCCAGCAGACACTAGTGCAGCATCTTGCTGTGAGTGTTATACTCACCGTCTTCAAGACCCGTGTCTCGCATTTCTCAGGGGTTGGCCACTGACCATCTCAGAGAACCTTGGTTTCTCATAAGCTGGTTAATTTCTCAATTATTCAGAAGTAATCGGCCAATTACCTCATTATCTCATGGAGATTGGCATACACGGTCGGATCTAGTGGGCTCGGGTTACTACAAGACAGTGATTGTGCCACTCACCCAGGGTTTACTGTTCCCCCTATCCTCCCCCGTCCAGTGTATTGTTCCCTCTCGCGTTCTCTCTCTCTTTCTCGTCCTGTTCACTTCGAATTATTTCCCTTCGTCCTGACCTCCTCTTCATGTTCACTTGGCTTTGTTCCTTTTTTCCCACAGCAACGTCATCATCACCTTCACGGTGTTGCTCTCTCCTTGGTCTTCGCTTATCAAAGTTCTCCTGCAGCAACGTATTTTAGCTTCTGTGTCATGAGGAGAACAGTCCTTTCATAATTCTCAATTCAGAACCCCTTCTAGGGTGACACAAATACACTTGTGGAAGTCACTAATGAACCTCTCACTCTAAGTTTATCTTTATTTCCAACTTCAGAAAGGTCACCTTTGACCGAAACGTTGGCTAAGTTTTGCTCTACTTTTCGCCATTTTGGCCCTTCAACGAGGAACCCATTTTTCTCCACGATTTTACCCTTCGTCTCCCATTAAAACTGCATAACGTTCCATTATTGTGTCTAGGTTCCCTACATGAACATTGTGTGTGTGTGTGTGTGTGTGTGTGTGTGTATCACACGCTTGGCTCAGCATATAAAGCACACTGTACTGTAGTGTTATAATAGGTCGTGTTAGTGTCTATATCCACCAGGGAATATTCAAGGCCCCCCCCACACCAGGGAACATTAAGAGGGGGATCCACCAGGGAACATTCAGAGGGGGATCCACCAGGGAACATTCAGAGGGCACCCCCCTACCCCAGGGGACATTCAGGGAGGCTTCCAAGGTTACTGTTGTTTGAATTCATGAATCATTCAAGACTCACTCGTCATACACACCAATATCAAACTATTTTATTTAAATTCATGTCGAAAATGAAAAAAAAATCATGATATATAAATATCTATAACATGGCTACTTAGTGTTACAAATCATTCAGTTTATATATAAATATATCTAAAAAAAAAAAAAAACTTGCATCCCATGCGCTAATTTGTTGAAAATTTCAATGTCTCCGTTTACAAACGCGGGAAATATAATCCTTTAATTTTATTTTATGTCTGGTAACTAACTATATTTGACTTCGTTACCCCTTGACAATTGTAACTATGGTTCCCGTTTTCTGCCTACGGAAAGTAACTTTCTCGTTCTCTTGCATTCTCGTTTTCTCACTTATAGAGTAATTTGTATTCTTATTTTCTTTCGTAGCGAAAGACGTTGCAGTAGTTTTTTTTTTTTTTACCGGATAACGTTTCGACATAATAAAGCCTTCCCATCCTCCCCAACACACCACAGATCGAAACGTTGTCCCGATGAAGGCTGGTCCTACCATCGAAACGTTGTCCCGATGAAGGCTGGTCCTACCATCGCGTCTCCCTTTCCCTCGTTTCACGATCTCTCGAAGCCTTGTACAGTCTCTCATTTTTCTTTTAGTTAGTGCGTGGGATGCTAGTCTTTTTTTTTTTCAATGCCTGGATCACTTACTGATTCAGTGTTGTTTCTATGACTGTGTGTGTTTGCGTGCGTAAAGAAAACATTTACATGGAAGATTTTCCCCCTTAACTCCAGCGCACTCCAGCACTCTGACGCCGATGCACCTACGTAAGGCGAAGCTCATGTTCTTCTTCGTCCGGTACCCATCTTCGTCTGTCCTCAAGACTTACTTTCCCGACATTAAGTTCAATAAGAACAACACTGCCCAGCTCGTCAAATGGTTCTCAAACTTCCGGTGAGTGTCATTTATAATTCCTGGTTGTTTTTTAGTGATCTGTGTTTTAACTGGGACAACGTTTCGCCCCGTATAGTGGTTTAAAAGCTCTACACAGAGCAAAACGTTGTCATTATATATATATAATGTATATATTAGTCTTGCCGAATAGGTAAAACTTGCGATTTTGGTTTAAATAACAACGCTCTTCTTGCCGAATAAGGCAAGCGAAATTTTGTGTATGCAATAATTTAGCAAAAATCATTCTGAACCTAACGAAACAAATATATTTCATTGTGTTTGTTTATTATTAAATTATTGTAAACTTATCTAAAATATATTTAGTTGGATTAGGCTAAATTAAATTGCGCTTGTTATAATAAGGTTAGACAAGTTTTCTAAGGATGTTTTGGTACAAAATTATTAATTTTTACAATAACATAAATGAAAAAATATATCTTTAAACGTATAAGAGGAAAATTTTAGAAAGACCTTAATTTTAAATGACTTTTTGCTAATTGACCAGTCTTACCTATTCGGCACGACATACACACACACACACCACACACACACAATCACACACACACACACAACAACTAAAATATATATATATATATATATATATATATATATATATATATATATATATATATATATATTATTTATTTACTGGATAGGTGTGATTTTTTTTATATTCCGCTCTTCCACTGGCCGTACTTCACAAATGATCAATAATGTGCCTTAAAGCTAGTGTAACTTCACCATAGCCAACTTGAACATAATTTAAAGAAATATCAGAGATAAAGTTATGTAAATGTGTGACTTAGGCCTCTATGTTATTATTGTGACTTACATGTACACGTGTATTGCAAGTCTATTTAGGTGAATGAATAACAGTGTTAAATGGCTAACAAAGAAGCTAAATTATTCTTCTCTTTTTTTTTTTTTTTTTTTTTTTTTTGTTAGATTAAGTTTTCTTAGACTAACTTCAACTTTCACATATTGTTCTCTCCTGGTTCAAGATAGGATTCTTTGTTCTTTGTTCTTCAGGATAAGGGATCAGTTGCTGGTAGGCTTAATGTGATCCATGGAAACACATTACTCCAATCTGTTTTAGAGGATACATTAACTTGCTGTTGCGTGATGATAAGAGATGACATTTCAAGACTGTGTTCAGCTTCGTTGCCAGGATACTGGATGTATCCTAGTGGTAGCTTTCTGTCTTCCACTGGTAGTGGTTTGTGGAATATAGGTGGATGCATCCAGTAACCCAGTGGATACTTCATGTATCCCAGTGGATGCATCCTGTATCCCAGTGGATGCTCCCTGTATCCCAGTGGATGCTCCTGTATCCCAGTGGATGCATCTTGTATCCAGTGATGCCCTGTATCCCAGTGGATGCATCCTGTATCCCAGTGGATGCATCTTGTATCCCAGTGGGTGCATCCTGTATCCCAGTGGGTGCATCCTGTATCCCAGTGGGTGCATCCTGTATCCAGTGGGTGCTCTGTATCCCAGTGGGTGCTCTGTATCCCGTGGTGCATCCGTATCCAGTGGGTGCATCCTGTATCCCAGTGGGTGCATCCTGTATCCCAGTGGGTGCATCCTGTATCCCAGTGGGTGCATCCTGTATCCCAGTGGGTGCATCCTGTATCCCAGTGGGTGCTTCCTGTATCCCAGTGGGTGCATCCTGTATCCCAGTGGGTGCATCCTATATCCCAGTTGGCAGTGTCATCCTGTATCCCAGTGGGTGCTATCCTGTAAGTCTCGACAGTGGGTGCTATCCTGTATATCCAGGGTGATTAGATAGTGAGTGCATCCGACACGAGAGTGATGTAAAGGGTGCATACAGTGAAGAGAGTGAGTGAGCGAGAGAGAGAGGAGAGAGAATAGAGAGTGGGTGATAGTGTGAGGAGGAAGGGAGAATAATGATGTGTGAGTGAGAGAGGGGAGAGAGGATGGAGATATGAATTAGGTGTGAAAGAGAGAAAGCAGGAGAGGGGAAATGAGGGGAGACGGCAGGGAAGGAACCTGATGGATTATGGAATTACTAACTTTATTGAAAATGCACACGCGCAACCCGCGCGCGGGCGCGGGCACACGCACACGTGTACGCGCACTCAAAGCTACGATAGTGAAAGTGAGAAGACTTTCCAGTTCTTATCTCAATGCTTTCTAACCCTTAATTCTTTTCCTGTTCATTCTACTCTCCCACGTCCTCCTACACTCCCCACGTCTCTCCTATCACACCCTCCCCACGTCTCTCCTATCACCCCCACGTCTCTCCTATCACACCCTCCCCACGTCTCTCCTATCACACCCTCCCCACGTCTCTCCTATACACCTCCCACGTCTCTCCTATCACACCCTCCCCACGTCTCTCCTATCACACCCTCCCCACGTCTCTCCTATCACACCCTCCCCACGTCTCTCCTATCACACCCTCCCACGTCTCTCCATCACACCCTCCAGTCTCTCCTACCACACCCTCCCCACGTCTCTCCTATCACACCCTCCCACGTCTCTCCTACCACACCCTCCCAACGTCTCCTACCACACCCTCCCACCGTCTCTCCTACCACACCCTCCCACCGTCTCTTCTACCACACCCTCCCCACGTCTCTTCTACCACACCTTCCCAACGTCTCTCCTACCACACCCTCCCAACGTCTCTCCTACTACACCCTCCCCACGTCTCTCCTACCACACCCTCCCAACGTCTCCCACTCTCTAGCCTCCACCTTCACCGGCCTCCTTAAGGCTCTTGTTGTAGTGGTTGTGGAGCTCATTTTTCCCCTCAAGCAGGTGTGGAGGGGAGAGGAGACGGACTATGATTAATGTGAATTAGTGATGAGCTGTGTTGAACTGAGTGCTCCGTGATACTGAGCTCTCTGTTGCGCTTCATGTGCTGGATGTGTTGCGGCGGTGTGTGGACGGAGGTAACAACACTGGTGTATGCTAGGATTGTCAGGGTGTAGGTTACAACACTGGTGTATGCTAGGTTTGTCAGGGTGTAGGTTACAACATTGGTGTATGCTAGGTTTGTCAGGGTGTAGGTTACAACACTGGTGTATGCTAGGTTTGTCAGGGTGTAGGTTACAACATTGGTGTATGCTAGGTTTGTCAGGGTGTAGGTTACAACACTGGAGTATGCTAGGTTTGTCATGGTGTTGGTTACAACACGAGTATGCTAGGTTTGTCATGGTGTAGGTCACAACACTGGAGTATGCTAGGTTTGTCATGGTGTAGGTTACAACACTGGTGTATGCTAGGTTTGTCAGGGTGTAGGTTACAACATTGGTGTATGCTAGGTTTGTCAGGGTGTAGGTTACAACACTGGTGTATGCTAGGTTTGTCAGGGTGTAGGTTACAACATTGGTGTATGCTAGGTTTGTCAGGATGTAGGTCACAACACTGGTGTATGCTAGGTTTGTCATAGTGTAGGTCACAACACTGGAGTATGCTAGGTTTGTCATGGTGTAGGTTACAACACTGGTGTATGCTAGGTTTGTCATGGTGTAGGTTACAACACTGGTGTATGCTAGGTTTGTCAGGGTGTAGGTTACAACACTGGTGTATGCTAGGTTTGTCATGGTGTAGGTCACAACACTGGTGTATGCCAGGTTTGTCATGGTGTAGGTCACAACACTGGAGTATGCTAGGTTTGTCAGGGTGTAGGTTACAACACTGGAGTATGCTAGGTTTGTCAGGGTGTAGGTTACAACACTGGGTATGCTAGGTTTGATCAGGGTGTAGGTTACAACATGGTGTATGCTAGGTTTGTCAGGTGTAGGTTACAACACTGGAGTATGCTAGGTTTGTCAGGGTGTAGGTTACAACACTGGTGTATGCTAGGTTTGTCAGGGTGTAGGTTACAACACTGGTGTATGCTAGGTTTGTCAGGGTGTAGGTTACAACACTGATGTATGCTAGGTTTGTCAGGGTGTAGGTTACAACACTGGTGTATGCTAGGTTTGTCAAGGGTGTAGGTTACAACACTGATGTATGCTAGGTTTGTCAGGGTGTAGGTTACAACACGGGTCTATACCAGCTCTGCAAGTGTGTTTGAAGAGTGTTAGGGAGAGGGGGTTGTGTTTCGTGGTGCGAGTGTGTTGTAGGGGAAGAGGGGGGGGGAGCGATATGTTGTAGGATTGTAGTGAAATGTTGTGAAATATTGTATTGGTGAGTGACATTACGAACTAGTTAATAAATTACCATGTACAGCGGTTGAACGACACACCAACAATTCCCATCTACGAGGAGAAAGTGAAAAAGAAAAACTAGAACAAAACAAAATCACCCAAAAATTAAATACAACAAAAGTGAGCTAGAAAACACGGAAAGAAAAAGTGCAAGACGTGTAATTAAGAGAGCGAGGAAGAGGAAAGACTAATAAAGACGGCGACTAAGAAAACATCGGCAAGTATTAAGCAAGCTAGAACAAGGTAGAACTATAGGAGCAGTAATTAATGCAAGGAGGCGGACCAGTGACGCTATCAATGTTGAATTAAGAAGAAGGGGAGGAACCTGCAGTCTCGGGCCTACTGCTGCCAGGCATTCCTCTTCCTGCACTTTTTTTCTTTCTACCTACTTGTCCTACTGTTTGCTTGTGGACAGAAGATTGTTATTGTAGGTGTGGCGGGGAAGCGTGTTGAGAGAAGGTAGGGATGTGTGGTGTGTGTGTGTATGTACTCAATTAATTGTGGTTGCAGGCGTCGATTCATAGCTCCTGGTCCCGATCCCGATGTGTGTGTGTGTGTAACAAGTGTACATAGCTGTAAGAATAACGTTGTCATTATTTCTCGGAAATTTTATGCAGTATACCAAATGAAATTTGATTATAATAATCATTATTATTATCCATAGAGATAATGTTCCTGGGTTGAGTGATGATCTTGCAATATTAAACATATTTTGGGTTAAGTGAACCTCTCAGTTTCGTTTGGCTTTATGTAATAAACTCAGATCAAGTTTGATACCTCGTTAGTGGCAGTTTACCATCGTATACTTAACTCCCATCA